CTTTGGACAACTATTGATGAGATTACTGGGAAAACAAAATTTAAAGAGTGTGTCACTGAGTTAAATACAACATCGGGAACAGTATTAAAAAATACTCAACAGATATGCGATGAATTTGTACAATTCTTTACTGACATAGGCGAAAATTTAGCAAGTAATATACAAGCAAATGTACAAAATACTCAGCCTCCAAAAAGAACTTTGAACTCATTTATTTTGGATAAAGTCGAGCAATGTGAAGTATACACCACTGTTATGTCCTTAAAAAATCGGAAAAGTCCTGGGTTCGATGGTATTAAAAGCGAGCATTTGAAAATTATAGCCGAGGACATAACAGAACCACTCACTTACCTAATGAACAACTGCTTTGAATCTGGCATATATCCCTCAATTTTAAAAAAAGGTAATATAATACCGATACATAAATCAGGAACAAAAACAGATGTTAACAACTATAGACCAATATCAATAATATCCAGTGTAGCAGAGGTTTTTGAAAAAGTTTTATCTACTAGAATGATTCGATACCTCACAAAATTCAAAATTTTAAGTGAAAATCAATATGGATTTACAGAAGGGAAGGCTACATCGGACGCAATAACTAAAATTGTAAATCAAATACATCAAAATATTGATAACAGAATCCCTTCAATCTGCATTTTTGTTGACTTAAAGAAAGCTCTCGACACAGTTAATCACAAATTATTATTAGAAGCATTGGAGAGAATTGGTTTCAGAGGAAACACGTACTCACTGATCGAAAATTATTTGTCAAATCGCCCACAATCTGTGCAGATATCAGGATCATTTAGTAAAGAAATGTATATTAAGTGTGGTGTCCCACAAGGAACTGTCTTAGGTCCGCTGTTATTCAATATATATTTAAATGATATTTTCCAAATTAATTGTGTTGGCAAAATAACTAGTTTTGCAGATGATACTGCAATATTATATGAAGGTACTGACTGGTCTGATCTGAAAAATGTAATTGAAAATGATTTTATCAAAATTATTCGGTGGTTTAACAGTAGAAAATTAAGCATTAACTACTCTAAAACACATTTTTTACCATTTGAATGTTATGCTAGACATCTGCCAAATTACACAAATTTCTCCTTCAACATTAATGATCAAAAAATGCAAATTAGTAGAGTGCCCAACATAAAATACCTTGGAGTGGTCTTGGATCCTCACTTACGATGGAACATCCATGTCAATTATATTTTAAAGAAAGTTAGATTTGTATCCTACAAAATTAAATACCTTGGGAATATATTCACAGAGAAATATCTTCGAACATTATACCATGCACTGATTGAGCCTCATCGCACATATGGTATATTAGCATGGGGAGCTGCATGTTCCTCACATATCTATAATTTAGATGTTTTTCAAAAAAGTATTCTAAAAATGATATTTAAAAAACCGAAACTTTATCCCACTGAAAAATTATACGCAGTTGTTCGAATGTATGATATAAGACAGCTTTATTTCTTACACAGTATCACTCACTACCATAAATTTGTAAACATCGACCAAAAAATTAAACATAATCATTATACCAGGTACAAAATTCGTGGCACAGTAGTTCCTCAACCGCATAAATCTATAATGCAGCGATCATATCTCTATTTAGCGCCTAAATTTTATGAAATGATATCTAAAGACTTAAAAGATTTATGTTTCGGAAATTGTTTCAAAAGAAATTTAAAAAAGTGGCTACATTCTATATCTAGGACTGAAATTCATAAACTCATAAATACGAACATCAACTAAATACATAATCTACTGTAGCTAATTTTTGTCCTTTTTTGTCATTTGCATTCTACAGTTTCAACTTAAATTATTGGTCCATGTACAGGCGATGCCTTCTATTGGGCCTGTTTTGATTTTATATTTATTTACTCATATTGTTTGTTATCTTTGTACATTGAGTGAATAAATATTATTATTATTATTACTATATATGTGAAAAAAGTTCATCAGTTTTTGGGTTAAGTAGTTCTAAATACGGCCCTGAGTTTCGCCAGATTCGTCATTCTCAACAGTACAGACTTCAATAGGAAGACGTCACTACCAGCAGATCAGCTGTTCACCTCAACAGAAGTTACAACATAATAGAGTACCGTGGAAAATAGATTACAGAGCTGCGATTTAACATTTTTCATTGATGGTGGAAGTGCGGTCTAAATTGGTGATACATCTAAAAATGGTGGAAGTGTACGATAATTACACATAAAGTGCTTTTAAAAAGGTCCCTCCCCTATTCATTCTACTGCGTTTAAATATGGAAGTTCGCCAATTTATCATTTTTCAGACTTTGCTAATTACGGGAGTCTGTCTAGCTCGATATGCAACGCAAAATTAGTTTTATTAGTAGTTCAAATTCTTTATTATCTTTACACCATGTTCAGTATCTCAAAGAACTCATACAACCACTCATAATCTCAGCGAAGAATTCATAAGCGATAGCTGGAAAGAGCAGTACGAACACTACTACGAACAATGCGATTTTCACACCTAACACGGCTACCCTAATGGGTATTGTCAGCAGCAGGATCACCACATATACAGGTAGTAATACAATTTGCAAAATGGATACGAGATACTGAAATATGTAAGCCAAGACGACTACCAGAGATCTCGTCAAGATCGCACTTAGAATTGTCAACCATAATGCCAAGTTTCTTGTGAAGTTGTCACTGTTGAATACCAAGTCGCCTGAAACTAAAAATAAGGTAGTGTCAAGGATATAAAAATAAGCTTAACTCATGAACTGTTTTAACTTCTGTGATGTCATTTAAGGATATGCATGCGTGTCACTTTCGGCACTGCCTAGGAGTAGGGGATAAAAAACATCCGAATTATTAATCATGTGTACTCAGGTTCGATATCTTACAATGACAAACAATATTTCTTTTGGTTGAATCCTATTTAGAAAAGTCACTGCTACATACAAGGAAGCCATTAGCAACCTTAGTACCTAACAGAAATTTAATGTATCACCCCTGGTATAATTGAAACAAACATGATGATAACCAATTTAGCAGAAGTCTTGCCTGATAATGTTTCATTACCTGTTACCCTACTAAACATCTGCAAAATCTTGACATTTCTATATTTTGAAAATGAAAAGGGTTTAAAGAAGGTTCCAAAAATTTCTTTAAGTGAAGTCTAAGGGAGTTAATCCTGAGCAAGGAGTTAAAAATACAGAGCTGTGTTGGCATTTTTAAACTCAAAGCTTAGAGTTCAGCTAGAAAATTAGACACCTCCATTTTCTTCACACAATTGTCACTTTTAAGCCATCTACAGAAAGGAGCAACGTTTTGGTCAATTCACCTGTGCATGCTACTTGTAAGAATCTCAATACAGTTAGCTGTCATTGCGATATATTTATATCTTCTTTTGGTAGGGTAATAAGGATGGCCTATTAGTACTTAAATTGATTATTTTCTTTCGGAACTCTGTCGCAGACTATTAGTTTATTTTGTGTATGTAATTGTCCTGTAAATGGGTAACTGTTAGACAATAAATGCTATTGTTATCATTATTTTTATATTATATCTGAAAACAACAGTTGTATCGATTTTTTTGTTTCCCCGGACTCTTCCTACCTTTTTACAGTTAACAATAATGATTAATATGTAATGACATTTCAAGCAATGCATTTTACACAGTTAGCCGCTTTGTTTAGATGGCACCCTAAACATGGATACAAAGTTAAGTAGCATATGAGAAAGGTGATTCTATCACACCATAGCCTTATTTGAACAATATTTGTGTTATGCCCTAATTCAGTCTCATCAATGATGTAAACATTCACAATACTCTGTGTCTTGGTGAAGGGACAGTTTAAGGAATATGTATGTCTAGGAATATTACCATTGATTTCTGAATCACCCTGTATGATCACATTCTATCGATATCCGGAGTAATACTCAAATCTTATTATCTAATTTCTTTGACGCGGCGGGAGATACCGAGGACTAAAGTTAGTTTCATTTCAATGTACAAATTTCAAGTGCGTTTTCTCCATCACGTGATAAAAAGTGGATAAACTGTAATTACTTATCTATTAAGATTACAGTTGCACTGCCTACCTTGCGTGATGTCACAGCATTGTAACGGTCAGTGAGATGACCTAGTGTTCATTCTCTTGGAACAAGGAGTTATAGTTCGATGTCGGGTTAAGCAAATGAATTCAAACTAGATGAAGGAACCAGTCAAGGATTTACTTGTCTCCTTATTTCTCATAGTCTGTAGTGAATATCCAAGAGAACTTGACATACATCAATTTTTTACAGTTCTATCATTACATTCGTAGTTCTAATGCCATTCTTTAAGAGTGCGCGTGCTTGCAGATAATTGTGGTGTTAGATGATTTCAAAACGTGCTATTTCTTACGTAATTTGCAAAGAGCGGCACAAGCCTAATGAAGGACGATGTTTCCACAGGTAAGTATTAATGTTATGTTGATACAACGCTGTCACTTTGATAGGCATTGGTAGACAAATAAACATATAGGCTAATCTAATCTATTCCAATTCGTCGAGTTAAACCTAGAGTTGATTGACCCTGGTCAAAGTTCGTGTCCAATGATTATCGTCATATTAAAAATACTATAAAAAACATACTACATACTACTACTGAGCTTCTTGCTTCATTCTCAATAGATTCATGTCAGATCAAGCAAAATTTAAAAAAGGTCGTTTTGGTGTCCAGAACCTTTTCCAGGCAAGTCATGACTAAGGTAATTTCTGAAATTCATCCTATGGTTGCCCTTCAAATCCGTTACGTTATACCTAGGCATCTCATCACTTGTAGTATTAAACATCGACATCGGAACCAGGAGCTCTGGTCACTCACCAATCAGAAGTTCAAAGTTTTAACCGAGTAGTCGGCCATTTCTCAATTTGGTTAGCCATTTCTAGGTTTGACCGCACGGTGTGTTTTGACTGAGGCTCTGACTACGCTTACAATGTTAAGCTTGATGAACTTACTTGGCATATATCAGCATGTTGACGATACCCTGCGGTGCAAGCTTGGTTAATGCTAGAGGTACGGCACGGTCTAATTTTGTCATCTGATTGTCAGGAAACTGTCAAAAAACTGAAGACATCAGACGTATTTTCATATGTTGTGCTTATACAGAGGGAGTCTACAGATCATCGGTCAGTATGTCTCGGTCTACTATTATACTATTCGTAGAAGTCTCGTCGGTCTGTTAGTCTGTCAGGTATGGCTACCCTGGTGCCAAATACGTTTAAGTGTAAAAGGGAAAGAAGGGAAGGAAGAAAAGAGCAAAGAAAAGATGCAAATCATTTGAAATAGCTTAAGCATTACTGGTTTGACTACTCGAATAATTTTGTAACTCCAAAAAATAATTTTGATCAATTTTGCATTCTGAAATAATTTTGGTTGGTCTGAAATTTGCAATTTAATTTTAATCTCCGTGCGAGGCGCGGTCTTAAATCTTATAATGTAAAAAATACCGACATAACGTCACTTGCCAAGTTAAGTAATACCCTTGTTGAATGTGACGACTTGACTTTTCAAGCATGTTGAATTCAGTTTTTTTTAGAAAAATCAATAGCACTTTTTTGACACACATTCTTTTCAAATTTTGTGAAAAGCATACCGAGGTTTTTAAAATATCATTTCTACTCGTTTAATATCCATTTATCTATCTTGAAGACTAGATATACAGGGTGGCCCATCCGTGTGTAGACGGAATAGTACTCATAAACAAATTCATTCTGGGAAAATCTATTTGTGGCATATTATACATGACATTTGAGGGCACATTTCTAAAATATTGGCAATTATACAGGGTGTCCCAATTTTGACCTACATATCAAAGTTGTGATTTTTCAAATATAATACCTCAAATTTTATTGCATATTTGGATAAAACAATTCAAAAGAAGAAGATTGATATAACATACTTTGAGGTTTTGGTAATTATCTACTGAGATGTAAGGTGTTTTGTCCAGAAAAACCGTCTACTTCGGCAACCCCTCAATCCGCCATTTTGAAATTTGTAGTGCTGAATTTTGAATCAAAAAAAGCTTGTACACCTGAGCTTTTATCTTATTTATTACTTTTTCAAATTTACATTTTTGCTCGTACAGGGTCGTCAAAAACGCGAATTGTATTTTTTCTCAAAAATTTCAAATGCATCACCCTGTATATTTGTGCAAGCTTGGATTCAATTTCTTATAAGATTTCTTTTGGTATAAGGTTTGATTCAGATAAAATCACTAGATTTTGAGTTATTAAGCTTTTAATAGAACAGCATACCAAAACTAAGGAAAAAAATCGCATCAAGGCAAACAGTGGGCTAGTTCCATATTGCCACTAAGAGTAAAAGATTTGACCTAAAAACTAATAACAATCAGAACAGTATAAATCAGCTTCAAGCGTAATATAGAAAAACAGCTATAACAACGTAAACAAACAACTATCCCCACTCAAGACCTGATCTACAAAAAACGCTCAAAAATATCTCCATCATTTTGAATACACTGCCGTAGTCTTTGGATAAATCACCGTTGCACATCCCTCAGCATGTGTTGTTCCCTTATGTTCAGAAAAGCATCCTTAAACCCTTCCTAAAAAGAACCTTATCCAGGAAAGTAGCGTCTTCGCTCACTTTAGTTTGCATTATTCTACTAAATTCCATTCGAGCTGCGAAATCCTGAGACGAAGGCATTGATACAAGCATGGGTGATATGGATGGTACCTATGCTTGTGAATAATCCTTTGGACAGAAGTTCTGCATATATCAGTTTCTGCTCCAATTTGCGGTGCACTTAAAGGGGGATTTTCCTTCAACTTTAATAGATGACTGATTCGCCTCATTGGTGACAGTTGGATTATCTATACATTTTTTACTATACTCCACTGCTCCACCTAATTCAAAACGTTCTCCTAGTGTGGAAATATGTAGTTTCCGGACTTGGATGTCGCATATTAATTAGGGTACCGTTGCTTATAAATGCGAGATGCTAGGAAACTATTTCTTTGGGCTTCGCCCAAAACGAACACCATATTCACCATTTCTTCTTTAGAAAAATTCATTTTCAAATACGTTTTTATTATAATGCTCACAAAGCTAATTTTGACAGTTTGTAACTAATCAATAATTTATTTGTTTCCAAGGATGATGCGATATTTTAGGGAATCAAGCCGTTCCATAAAAGACATGCTAATAACCGAAACAATATCCGTAAAAAACCCTTTTGTATCTAGTATCAAAAAAAGCTTATAAAAAATTGAATCCAAACTTGCACAAATATACAGGGCGATACATTTGAAATTTTTGAGAAAAACTACGATTTGCGTTTTTGACCACCCTGTACGAGCAAAAACTAAAATTCGAAAAAGTAATAAATAGGATATAGGCTGAGGTGTGTAAGTTTTTTTTGATACAAAATATTCAGCACTCGAAATTTTAAAATGGCGGACGGAGGGGTTGCTAGACAAAACACCTTATATCTCAGTAGCTAATTACCAAAACCCCATAGTTTGTTATATCAGTTTTCTACTTTTGAATTGATTTATCCAAATATGCAATAAAATTTGAGGCATTCCATTTGAACAAGCACAACCCTGTAGGTATATATCGTACTTCGTTGTTCATGGTTACAGAGATGAAAATCATATATATATATATATATATATACGTATATATGCGGGTTTTTCGGTCCATGCAGTCTCCCTGTTTGAGTCCTCTGGATATCATGGACTCTTCAACATCTTGCATCCAACAGCTTGGAGGTCTACCACGCCTGCGACGTTGAAGGTGACCATACCAAAGTAGTCTTTTTGTTTCAATCGTTTCTAAAATTTTGTGGTCTACTCCCATAATTTGTCTAATTCTAACATGTTCTAGTCTGGAAATTCTGCAACTCCAGGGACATCAACCCCTCTTTTTTTATTTTCGTCATCTCCCATATTTCTGAGCCATAGGTACAGATACTTTCTACTATAGCTTCGAATATCAAATTCTTTGTTCTGTGTGTCACTCTAGTACTCCATAGAATAGAATTTAGTTGTCTAATTGCTAACGTTAGACCCAGATATTTGAATGATGTCGTGTTCTGTAAGCTATGGTTTCCAACATCCAAATCACCTCTATAGCTGTCAGCTACAATCATATACTCGGTTTTTTACATTAATTTTCACGTACTCATCTTTCAATTTCCTAAACATGCAACACGGGTCCTCTCTATCACCTGCTATCAAAACCTGGTCGTCAGCGAATAAAAGGGTATATAGGACATGTTCTCCCACTGGTAATCCCATATGGCAACATTTCCTCTTCCAGTTTCTTAAAACTGCTTCAATATATATCTTGAAAAGTGTCGACGCAAGTGAGCACCCTTGGTTACTGGGAATTCCTCTGAGAGCTGTCTACCGCTTTTGACCATCCTGGTACACCCACAATACAGATATTTGATAGCATTCACTTAGACCCTATCAACACCACATTCGATCATGCATTCCCATAACATCCATAATGGGACAGTGTCATAGGCCTTTTGTAAATCAATGAATGTTAAGTGTACCGGTCTACCCCTTTCTACCTTTTTGTCAATTAGATTATTCAAAGTAAAGATCCCATCAATACATGATCTCCCAGATCGGAAGCCGTTCTGTTCTTCAGAATCCAGAATCTTCAAGTTTAGACTTTAACATCTTTCCATATAATCTAGCTACCGGAAATATGACACTAATTCCTCGGCAGCTGTTACAATCACGTCTGCTTCCCCTCTTATAAACTCATGTTATATTGGCCTTTTTCCAGTCAGTAGGCGGATCACTACCACGCCGACATTTATTACATATGTTAACTAGAATGTGTACTATCCTACTTGGAGCTGCTTTTAGTAGTTCGGCACTGATATTTCCTAAACTTGACGCCTTGTCATTCCTAATTGATATATAGTAGGACAACCTACACAATGTCATAAAAAACCTACATAATGTTAAAAAAACGGCATTATGTCATTTTTCATGATACGTAATACCCCTGCCGGTATCAGTCGGTAAGTTTACACATTTTTACTTCTGTCTGTATTGTGGCTCAGACATGGTGGTGACGGACTCCATGGACAATAACATCTGTGTCGAGAAGAAGGCTGTATGAAAAATAATCTAATAACCATTCACAGTATTGTATTTGAAGTAAGACGAAACGCCAAACAAATCTGAATGAAAACGAATGTCGAAATGCAGTAAATGCACGATGTAAATGTGTGAGTCCTTCCGCGTCAGACAAATGTCCATTAAGCCTTTTGGACTGTAGCCCGTGAAAAATATCGACCATAGTTATTTCTCGTGCTAAAGGGTAGCTATGTGGCAGCTTCGGTAGCGCGCGGGGCTACCAATCCGAGGCTTGAGGATTCGAGTCTCCGCGTCGGAAGCGAATTCCGCGCTATGGATGTTGTATCGTGTGTTGTCTAAATTACGTACGTGGGTGGAGTATTAACGATAGGTGCATCTCGTTACTAGAGCTGGTTTATTATGTTAGTTACTAGCACATGGCTCGTGGAGTAGTTCAGTGATGATACAACGGAGTCAGCAAAAAGGGTCAAAGCTAGTTGTCAGGCTTCGCCTCCCCACCACTACTACTACCACATATCAGTAGCAAAGTTCATCCAGATCCGTTTAGCCATTTTGGGGTGATTTAATAACAAACATACACACTCTGTCATTTATAATAGTAAGTAGGAATATATGTTCTGTATCTGTTATTGTATGTGTTATAGATTTGAAGTAGAAGGTCACGCGCTTTGAAAATACCTACGCTAAATATTCTAAAATGGGTGACTTTTGGACAAAAACGCCAAATTTCGAACTTTGCGCTTTAAAAAAACATTGAAGTAGTAAAATAGAAAGAAAAAGGTTGATGAAATTTGAAAATGTATATGCTCTAAAGTATTTAAGCTTGAAAACCTCATAGATGGTATATTTTCTGTTTTAATGTGTATTGTCTGACAAAAACTCTAAAATTGGATGAAAATAATTGGATGAGCGTGAATACTCAAGCATAATTAAGTTGTGTTACATTAAGACTAAAATATAGAACTTAGATATTATTTCAATACTCTGGTGACATACCAAACCAGTCAAAGCATACCTC